AAAAAACTGCGGTGTGGTGCCGCTCCAAATGCACCCCAAGTAATGATCATTTTAATATATAATCATGATTGATTTATACTTGATCTATGTTCGATCATCTTTTGAACAAAGGCTGGATAATTATTAAATCATTATCAAATAATCTAATCACGATCGATGTAAACTAGGTTACATTTCAATTAATGCTCAACAAATGGTCATATTTCTATTAACGTTCAACTAAAATTTGATTTAATCATTGCTCGATCGTCATACCACCAAACTCTAGTAGGCAACATAATATCTACTAGCATTGAGGGTTTAGGGTATCACCATTGTTATTATGAGATCAGCATAGGGTTTAGATTTTTTTTTTCTAATAAAATAAATAATATAAAAATCTAGCAAATTTGTCTTATTAAATTAAGAGTCTGTTTGAGGTAGTTTATTTGGTGCAGTGACGTTTTGAAAACGCACCTGACCTGTTTGGGTAAACTGCATTTTGACAGCTTATGAGTTTTCAAAAGTTTTCAAAATGCTGAAAAAAATGCTGAAAACAGCGTTTTCACACTGCACATGTCTAGGTGAGGTGACGACTTTCTGACTACGGTCTGACTTCTAAAAAAAAATAAAAATTTATAGTAGCCACCGCACCTAATTTATCGACAGATTATTTTTAATCAGCTGATAAACAGATTATTCAATAAACTATAGCTGACCCCAAATAAATCCTAAATTATTCTTTGACTTTAATGACCCCATCCAACATTTTCTAGAAATCTCATATTAGATGAACATATTTTCAATTAATAATTTTATTTCCCACTCAAGATTTTCTCCTGATATTTTATAAATTGCTCCACCTTCCCCGCTGGACCCGCTCACCTCTCCCCATTGCCCCGATCGCAGAAACAGGGAGCGATAGCAGAACAGAGCAGATGGCCATGGATGACGGAGCAAGGCGACCTCACGTAGTCTTCCTCCCCACTCCCGGCATGGGCCACCTCATCCCCATCTCCGAGCTCGCCAAACTCCTCGTCGACCGCCACCACTTCACCGTCACCATCATCGTCTTCTCCGATTTCTCCAACAAAGCACAGGAAACTCTCCTTTCCTCCCTCCCTTCCTCCATCACCTCCCTTCCCCTTCCCCCAATCTCCCTCTCCGATCTCCCCCATGATTCCCGCATCGAAACCCGCATCTCCGTCGCCTCATCCCGCTCCATCCCCTCACTTCGCTCCATCCTCTCCAACCTCCTCTGCTCCACCAACCTCGTCGCCTTCGTCGCCGATCTGTTCGCTTCCGCCGCCTGCGATGCCGCCAAAGACCTCAAAATCCCGCACTACATCTTCATCCCCACCAATCTACTGTTCCTCACCCTCATGTTTCATCTCCCCTCTCTCAACGCCGATCTCCAATGCGATTTCTGGGAGCTGGACCGCCCAGTCCAGCTCCCTGGCTTCCCTCCCATCCCCGGCTCCGAAATCCTCCACCCGCTTCAAGATCGGATGCTACAAATGGATGCTGGAACACGCAAGGCGTTACCTGGAGGCTGATGGCATATTGGTGAACTCCTTCGATGCAATCGAAGCAGAGGCCGCCGAGATTCTCAAGAAAGAAGAACAAGGTCGGCCGACGGTGTACACCGTCGGCCCACCTTGTTCTTCTTTCTTGAGAATCTCGGCGGGCCCCGGCGCTGACTGCTTGAAATGGCTCGATTTGCAGCCAAAGGGCTCCGTCATCTTCGTCTCCTTCGGAAGCGCGGGCACTCTTTCAACAGAGCAGTTGGGTGGGCTCGCGCTGGGGTTTTGGAGGCGAGCGGCCAACGTTTCCTTTGGGTTGTTCGTAGCCCTATGGATTTGAACTCCGCCGGAACTTACTTCACCGCGCGGAGTGCCGACAACCCCTTCGCGTACTTGCCTGAAGGATTTCTGGAGCGGACGAAAGGCGTCGGCTTGGTGGTTTCTTCATGGGCGCCGCAGGTGGAGGTTTTGGGCCATTGTTCAACGGGTGGATTTCTGTCTCATGGTGGGTGGAACTCGACGCTGGAAAGCATGGCAAGCGGCGTGCCGATGATTGTCTGGCCGCTTTTTGCGGAGCAGAGAATGAACGCGGTGTTGCTGGTGGAGGGAGTTGGGGCGGCGATGGCGTTGAAGGTGAGGCAGGATGGGGTGTATGACAGGGAGGAGATTGGGAGGGTTGTGAGGGAGTTGATGGAAGGGGAGGAAGGGGAGAGGACGAGGAAGAGGGCGAAGGAGCTTCAGGTTGAGGCGGCGGCGGCGATGGGGGGGGGGGGTTCGTA